CCTTTCCTGCCCGGGATGGTGGAATTCACAGCCCTGGACCAGGTGTTTTCAGGTGGAATCTGCTTTAAGCCTGAGCTGCTGAACCAACAGCAGCTGCACATCTCCAAAGGAAGGGCCCTTGCTGCCCACAGCCCTGCCTTACCTCCTGGAACTCATTGAGGAAGGAGTGCTCGTACTCCCCCCGGCACCGCTGCTCCATCCTCTCCTCGATCATCCTGTGCAGGATGGTGGTGACAGCATCAGCACTCACCCTCTCCAGCAAATTCAGCTGGCGCCTACGGACACAGTGACCCATCAGGAGCGTGTGGGAGCAAAGGTACAAGCAAATGAAGAAAATCTAAAACCTGAGGGCACCTTCCCCCCTGTACACTCCACAGGTGAGGCCTCGGTTCACATGCTCTGATAGCCCACAGAGATGCACTAAATACGTAACACATGACACTACTGCTGTCCAATCTTCCTTACAAACATTTTTCTCTCACCATCAAAAGCTTTTTAGAAGAGTTTCATAGAGGTTGGGGTAGAAAGGGACCTTAAGATCATCTAGTACAACCCCCTGTCATAGGCAGGGACGCCTTCCACCAGTTTGTTTCTTTGTGGTCAGAGGGCCTCAGAGCAAGAGTAAAATATTCTCATAATCAGGGAGAGGAACTTTCTGTCTAAAGATCTGCTCCAGTTCAACCACCAGTTGGAAACCAGCTGTGTTAGGTTCTCTACCCAGTACCATGACACAGCCTGACCTCACACACAACTCCTCGGGTTCTCAGGGATCAGTAAACCTGCTGCTGCTCCCCATCCAGACCCTCCCTTGTTCCCAGTGACAGCCACCACCCCGTGACATACGTACAGGATGTCATTGAGCTGCTGAAACTGCTCCATGGCTTCGGGGCACCAGCACTGCTCCCTCTTGCTGCTGCAGCCTGGGCACAGCGAGCCCTCTCCCCCACCCTCCTCCGTGTCGCTCTCCTGCTCGGTCTCACTCATGCTGCTCTCACACTCGGTCGTTCCATCCTCTCCCTTCTTCCACTGCCGCATGTAGATCCTGAAAGTGCGGCTGTAGAACTGCTGGATCATTTCCTGGAAGGATTTGGTCGTGGTGAAGAACAGGATAGCCTTGAACATGGTGTAGACCTTCTCTCGCAGCGTCTGAGCGCCTGTGCCCAGGAGCAGGCCCGCCTTGGTCCACTCCTCCAGGAGCTCCAGGCTGTTCAGGTAGGGCTCCAGGCGGCTCTTGAGCCGACTGAAGGCGTCCAGGAGGAGCGCGGCACACTGGGGCTCCTCGGCCGCGTTCTCATACTGGATGACACACTTCCAGAACTCGGGGCCGATATTTGCCTGCAGGTCTGTCTGCAGCACCTCGATGAACCACTCCTCCACCACCGAGTGCAGGTCATAGCACTGCAGCACCTCCAGGGCCGCCCGGAGCTCCGCATCCTGCAGCGGCCCCGCAGCCTCGGGCCTCGGGGCTGCCTGGAAAGGAAAGGGCAGGGGGACACTGAGTTCAGCATCTGATGGAACACACACACGGACTCTGCTGCCAAACAGCAGAGACCCTGACAGACCCCTGACAGGGTCTCAGCCCACTGCTGGAAGCCCAGCGCCCACCTCCCAGGGCTCACACCCGCACACATCCATCCATCATCCATCCATCCATCCATCCATCCATCCATCCATCCATCCATCCATCCATCCATCCATCCATCCATCCATCGCTGTCCCTGCTGGTGGCTGCTGCAGGACACACATCCTGGAGGGAATGCTGCAAGCCACCCTTGGGTGCCTGAAAACGCCACACTGTGGGGCAAAACCCTTCTCTACGGCCAGGTACTGAGGTAAAACCTTTCCTCACGGCCAAGCTCTGGAGCAAAACCCTTCCTTGGCCAACGCCAGCTCCCTCGGGGAGCGAGCGGAGCAGATCAGCAGCTCGGCCCGGGGAAGCTGCGCCCCTTTGGGCACATCCCTCTCCTGGCTGGGGTGATGGGGAGAGGGGCCGGCTGGACCCGGGGACCCCGACAGCCCCCGGGAGACACCACCCGCACACCCCAGGCGCCCCTTCCCCTCTCCCCCCGCACAACCCCGGCGGCTCGGGCCGTTCCTCCCTCAGCCCCGGCGGCTCGGGCCGTTCCTCCCTCAGCCCCGGCGGCTCCGCCCGCCCCGCGGGCCCGGGGGCGGAGGGGCCCGGCCGGGGAGGGGCCGAGGCCGGAGCCCCCCGGGTGGGTGCCGAGGGAGCTCAGGGCCCCCTGAGGGCCCTCCGGTCCCCCTCACCAGCCCCAGGGCGGCGGGCGGCACCAGCGCGGTGCTGAGCGTGTGCCAGGCGGCCGAGAGCTCCATGCGGGCCGGGCCGGGCCGCAGGAAGGGGCGGAGCGGCGATGAGCGGGGCCGGGGCCGCGCTGCGGGGGCAGCGCCGGGCGCTGCGGCAGGGTGAGCGGGGCCGGGCGGGGCAGGGCCGGGGGCCGGGCCGGGCCCTTGTGACGGTCGGTGCCGCCCCGCAGGGCTGTCGGAGCTCCGCGCCCGGCGGGACGAGCTGAGCGGGCGGATCCGGGCGGAGGAGGCGGAGCGGGCCCGGCTGCAGGCGCGGATGGCGGCGCTGGCCCGGCGCTTGGCCGACACCAGCGAGAGCCTGGCGGGGCTCCGGGCAGCCCGCGCCAACATCGACCGCACCATCGCCGAGACCGAGGCGGCCTCCGGGCAGGTACGGAGGGGCAGCACGGGGGGTGTGCCGGGCCGGGCAGAGACCCCGCTGCGGGGTAACATCCTCGTGAGAAGCGGAGGGACGGCACCGATCTCTGCTCTCCGCAACCCGAGGGGATCGTGGAATCCAGAATCACAGAATATGCCCAGCTGGAAGGGACCCACAGGGATCATCCAGTCCAGCTCCTGGCCCAGCGCAGACACCCCAACAATCCCACCCTGTGCCCCAGAGGATCATCCAAACCCTCCTGGAACTCTGGCAGCCTTGGGGCTGTGCCCACTGCCCTGGGGAGCCTGGTCAGTGCCCAACCACCCTCTGGGGGAAGAACCTTCTCCTAATATCCAACTTAATGTTGTGTCAGGGGAGGTTTAGGCCCCAAGGCTGCCAGAGCACAATGAGCATTGGGACAGCGCTCTTGAGGGACAGGGTGGGATTGTTGGGGTGTCTGTGCAGGGCCAGGACTCGATGGTCCCTGTGAGTCCCTTCCAGCTCAGGGTGTTCTGTGATCCTGTGAACTCAGGAGCTGGTTTTGTCTGAAGGTCTGTCTGCAGCACCTCGATGAATCAACTGCCCCGGCTGCTGCCTGGGACGTGCACACACACCCTGGTCACAAGGGGGTTGAGTTGGATTGGGATTAGTTTTGGTGTTGTTTGTGGGCAAATCTTATTGTCGTAACACATCAAAGTGGTCCTTGAAACAGACCCCTAAAAGCAACCCTTTCACACCCGTCGTTTGGGGAAAAGGAGGAAACCAGAGACAGGACACTGACCCAGAAGCCTATGAATTCATGCAGGTAACAACAGTGCTGATGGAGCTGTTGCCCTGACACTCTTTCTGTCATTAAGAGTCAAAATTTTGGGGCAGTAGAGGGTGGGAAGGAGCAAACAGTGTGGACTGGTGCTGTCATTTCAGCTCCTGGGACAGCTCTACCCTTTCACTGTTTGTGGACTTGTAAACTGCCAGGCAGGGATTGCCTGATCCCACATAAAGGATCACAGCTGAAGTCACTTCTGCATTACACACCCACCAGCTTTTTATTTTTAGAAAAGGATCTTTCCAGACTACTTGCAGATAAGTAGCAATTTTCCTTCTGTTGGTGACAGGGCAGTTTGGGCCAGAAGGAAACCCCTATTAGCTGCTGTCTCCTCCTTCTCCCATTTGCTTTTTGAACGTTATCAACTACTCTGTGTCAGCTCCTCTTCCTCTCCCAAAGTCAGTACTTTTCCATGACAGTTATTTTTCAGGTGAGGCTGGAGCTGTTTCCTCAGCCTGCTTAAGACCTGATGGTTTGAAGTGAAGGGGGAAACTCACATAAAAAATTAACAGCTTAAAAATTGCATTGTAAAGGTACACAAACAGCCCCTTTGAAAAGAAACCTTACCTGAGATCCCAGTCACACCCCCAGCCTACAAATGAATTCCTGTTTATTGACAAGAACTCACGGGAGGTATAAAAGGTGGTGAGGAGGAGATGCAAGTGTCCTACAAACAGAAACCAGTAACAGAGTTCTGTCCTGGGGATGTACAGCACTGGTTTGTGATCACTCCTTGCTTTTCTCAGTCCCCACAGGACTCCACCTTCCTCCAGGATGGCAAGACCCCATGAGCACCTCGTCCTGCTGGGCACTTCCCTTTGGCTCCTCTCTGACCACTTAGTGATTTCCACAAGCTCACAGAACATAAAATGATCTTTGGGACTCCCAGCTATCACATTTTGTTACAATTGTCCACCATGTTAAAATTTTACACTGGTGAGATGGACAGGCAGCCAGGTCTCCTAAACCTCTTGTGGCCTAGAGCACAGTAAGCAGGGATGTTAGATTATGTGCACTGTAAGCTAAAAATAGGAGAAAATTAATAAAAGATTTAGTCTAACTTAAGGTCACTGTGGAGTTGAGTTCTGGCTTGAAGCCAGAAGCCCAAAATGTGCAGTTTTAACAGCAGAATAGAGCTGAAACTGGGTCACCTGAACACAATACTGATCTAAAAAGCCCAGGGATCAACATCTCCCTTAACAAGACCCAACCAACCAACCAAAAAAAAAAACGCAAACCAACCAAAAAAACCCCAGAAGTTCAACCCAGTCTGCTTTGGGAAGTTCTATGCCTTGTGCTCCAAGACAGATAAATTGCTTAAGGTGTTTTGTATTCAGAATATGGGCACAAACCAGAGAAATTCCCCCACAGACATTCCTGCAGGAACATTACAGGATGATACATCACCAGGAATTAGGGACTGTAGGGGCTGGAGAACTCCTCTTGCTGCAAGGCAGGTCAGCTGAACTTGAAGGGAACTCATAAGAGAAACAGTTTATGTAAAAATAAGCTATTTTTATTTCTTTCCCAGGTACTGGACAATTCTCAGACATTGCTAGATATCCTGAAGGAAGAAAGTGGGAATGGTGTAAAGCCAGTGAGCCACAAAGCAGTTCATTAGGACAACAAGCACATCAACAAAAGCGTTCCTAAACTCGATTTTCAGCCTGGGAAGTCCTGCTGGTCTGGGACAGCTGCTGTTCTGGTACAAGGACACCACATTTAATAAAAGCCTTTGTTTTGCAGAAGTAAATTTTCCTTTCAGATGTGCTTTGGTATTAGAGATCCACTAAAGCTGATCCTCAAGTGTTAGAGATGAGGGTAGGCATGTACAAAAAAAATACCCTTTATTTTGAGCACAGTGATCCTGAAGCTGCTTCTGCCCTCAGAACAGCACTCACCTTGCCCTGCCAGGAGTGAGCTCAGGGTACCTGGCACAGACAGGGATCAGAGCAGAGCTGGGGAGCACAAAGGCAGCGCTGGGTGAGGTGTGACTCAGGGGCAGGGTAGAGCAGGAGAACTGGAGGAAGGAGCAGAGGAGCCAGCAGCACACAGGGCAGCACGTGCTGCATCCCCCACCTCCTGAGCCTGTCCTGCCCACGGGGCTGCAGGCACTGAGGTAACTCAGAGGACAGCACACCGAGTGCCAGAGCAGTGTTTCAGCTGGCTGAGGTCAGGGGAACAAGCTGCAGGATATTGTTGGCTTTAGCATTCCTCATTGATCCATAGCAGAACGAAGTCAGGACTAGTTCAGACACCTTGTCCCTAACTTGAGCTGAAAGCAGCTTTTGCCTTACCACCTGCAGTTTTGCTAAGCTGTGACTCTACAGAGCTGCCTTAAACTGACCTGGGCTTTTCCACAGGGAAGGATGCTCACTGGGACCTTCCTGCTAAAAAAGCTGCAAAAAACCTTTTCTTCAAACACAGTCCCTGGTCTTTGGCTATGGGCAGTGTTTAACTCCACACAGCTGAGAACTTACCCCTTAAATTTTCCTTGCATTTTCCCTCATTCTACCCCAGTGTCAGCACCTTGTCCTGAAGTATTCCATATAACACATGGAATTCCACAGGACCCACAGTACCTGTGTCATGTCCCAGGCAGGTGCACTGCAGACACGTCCTGCTCCTGGGAGGTCAAGCAGGGAGCAGGTCTTGAGTTGGCCTGGACAGAACAAGGAGGTGCCAAGTGTTCCTCTGTGGCCCCTCCAGCCAACATCTAACAAACTACTGAGTATCTCATCTTTTTCTGTGTGTGTGTTCTCTTTCCAGAAGTATTTAGGCACAGAAGGGAACAGCTACAAGTAGGTATGTACTAACATTTAATCCTGACTGTGTTTTTCAGCAGAACAACCTTCCCCTGCTGCTACAATACACACCAAACCCAGTGCAAGGTATGCAGAGCATTTTCAGTTCACAGACCTCGAGTAGATATCCATCATCTCTGTATAACAGACAAACCAATAAACATATCAAATCTAATCAAAGATTCCAGCCTGTTCCTTTGGACAGAGCCCCATGCTGGGGTACCACTCATTCCATAAAGCCCAAAGAGGCCAGATCTTTTCCAACTGCATCTCTTTTAATCCCAAAGTACAAATCACATTAGCAGCAGTGTTCTATCTGTTCCAGAGTGCAATTTTGACCCTGAGTTTACAGTAGTAGAAAATGTAAATGGAAGATTCTAGCAGATTCCTTTGCATATTGGCTGCATTAAACAATTACAATAGAACTATAAAAATCCTAGAAAAAAAAAACAAAACAAAAAAACCCACATTCCTTGTTCAAGTTCTGCAGAAGAAAGGAGTGAAAGTGCCCTCCTGTGCTTTGATTAGAGGAGCAGAGCGAGCGTGGTTCAAAGGAATCCTCCCCACAAACCAAGACAGATCAGTCAGATCTGGAACAGAGCAACAAGAGGAACTGGCAAACTGGAGCACAACCAGCAATTCCTAGAGACTGGATGCCAAAATTGGGTATGGACAGAGCAAAGCTATGGCCAATGTTTGGGAATTTTCAAGAGGCTCGAGCCAGTCTGGTCACTTGGTTACAGATTGGTGCAAAAATGACACCTAAAGCTAAAGGCATTCATTCCTCTCCCCTCCCTCACAGGGTGTTCACGTAACTGGCACATTAATTCCATGATGGTTCAGTGAAACCAGTCCCAGAAACATGCCAAGAACAAACCATGACCCTTCAATGGTTTTCCAAACTGACACCTTATCTGTCAAATCACAGCCACGCTGTGAATCCAGCTCAGATGCTCCCAGTGCTCCAAAGCCATTCTCCACTGAGACCTCTGATGGGAAAAGTGTTACAAAAGCTGTCCAGACCCCACAGAGTGCCTGGACTCAGATAAGCACCGAGAGAACTGACATCCATCCCGGGATTACAGCTCTGCCCTTCGCGCACTTGCCTAATCAGCAGCTGATCTTGAACAAGGAATGTGCAAGGCCACAGGCAGAATAAATCATACGCCTCAAAAGTAGCAATTAGGTCCCAAAATCCAGTGCAAATATTCTCCGAAGATGCCCGAGAGCATCTGGTCCCCCCTTGGCATCAGGATCCAGCGCACGGCGGGGCGGGAGGGCGCCGGCCGGGGCCGGGGCAGGTGCACTGACACGTCCTGCCCAGCAGCTGCTGCTGCAGGACCGGGGATGAATCCGTCAGAAATAGAGCGCGGGCTCGCTGCTGAAATCCGAGAGCCCGCCCTTCTCTGCCGGGGTGAGCTGTGGAGAGAGAGGAGGGCTCATCAAATCAGAGCAAACCAGCACCCACACTTCTGCACTGGCACCTTGCCCAGGGCATCAATTCCCCCCTCCAAATGTGCCCTGGATTATCACGGAATCCCACAATAGTTTGGATTGGAAGGACCCTTAAAGCCATGGGCAGGGTCACCTTTCACTAGCCCAGGTTGCTCCAAGCCCAGTCCAACCTGGCCTTGGACACTTCCAGGGATGGGGCAGCCACAGCTTCTCTGGGCAACCTGTGCCAGGGCCTCCCCACTCTCACAGGGAAGAATTTCTTCCTAAAATCTAATCTAAATCTCTTCTCTTTTAGTTTAAAACCCTTTCCCCCTTGTTCTATCACCCACCCATGTAAAAAGTCCATCTCCCTGTTTTTTACAAGCCCCTTTAGGCACTGGAAGGGGCTCTCAGGTCTCCCTGGAGCCTTCTGATTTCCAGGTGAACACCCCCAGCTCTCCCTGCCTGGCTCCAGAGCAGAGGGACTCCAGCCCTTGGAGCATCTCTGTGGCCTCCTCTGGACTTATTCCAACAAGTCCATGTTTTTCCTGTGCTGAGCACAGAGTGTGCAGCTGCCTTAAGTCTCGTTCACACAGAGAGACAGGTCTGTCAGTGGCAGTGGGACCGTGTGTTGGTCCCTTTGGGAGCAGTGACACACCTCCCTGGACAGTGAACACAAAGGCACATCCGTCCCATCCACTGCCCAGAACAACCCCAGCACCACAGAACAGCACAGCAAGACTTCCTTATTTAAAGCCTCACCATGTCTTGGTTCCCATGGGAATCAGCTTCCTTTGGGAGGGGTCCCTCTGCAGCAGGACCCTCATACTTCTGCTCCTGCCACTCGCTGAACTTCACGGAGTGCTTTGGGGTGTAGCTGGATAAATCTGCTGGAAGGAGAAAGCTGGTGTAAATATTCCTCACCACCCCAAAAGGAAGTGGGGCCAGGATCCCGGAAGGGACAGCATGGAAGCTGCCCAGCTGCAGTTCCCTGGTCACCTCCATTAGCATTTCCACCCACATGGAGCCCCATAAGGGTCTGTAGGAAACATGGACACTGTCAGACACCACCTGCCAACACAGGGCCTCACTCACCTGAGTTGGGTGTACTGGGATGCAAAGTGCCATTGGGGCGTGGAACGTAAAAAGGGCAAGATTTTTCCTCCTCTGTTTCCGAAGCGTGGCCTTCCTCCTCCTCCTCCTCTTCTGCCAGGGAGCTCTCTGAGGGGTACTCAAACATAGTCTGCAAACTTGTCTCATTGAAGGAGATCTTCATCTAGACAACAGCAAAGGAGGATTGTCAGAGAGCAGCACGAGAACCCACTGATCCCAGCGCTGGCTCTGGCACAGGCCACTGCACCCCAGGGCTGCACCCTGGTTTATAGGAATGACTGAATATCTCCCCCATCCCTTCCCATGTGCCTTGGTGGATCTCTTGCCATGCTGACAGAGAGCCAAATGGATGGGATGGAGGCAGGAGGCTGAGGGGTCCAGACCACCTCTGGCTTTTTGCCCTTCACCATTATCTCACTGATGCCCAGCACCCAGGAGGAGCTGCCAGCGTGTCTCTCTCGAGATCAATGTTGCCAAGCAGGAAAGGAAAACATCCACATGTTGGAAAGGTGACATTGCTAATGCCTGACAACTCGTTTGTGTGCCCAGACTACAGAAATATGGGTGATAGGACTCCAGTCTTAGGAGGACATCCCGCCAAAGAGTTATTTAAGCTACATAAAACGGGGCTTAATACCAGAAGTGAGAAGGTGGAAACAGCTAAAGGAGAGATGGTAACAGGTGGTAGCAGAGAAAGGAAAATACTGGACAAGGTTCTGGTTTGAAAACAGTTTTATTCATTATTCTCACTAATGACCTTTGCAGAGTAACTGGGAGAATGAAGGTGAATGAATGAAGGAGGAATTGAGGAATGAAGGTGACTCAAACATCAAAGGAAAACCAGAATTTTATGGGTCATGAAGAAAACTAGAGAGCAAGAACACTAGAAATGGAATGGTGTTTAAGACCAACCCTTGCTCTAAGACAAGTTCATCACCTGTGAATAACAGGAAGAAAATTTTGGATTGGCTACAGGATTGTAATCACCATTAGGATACTGCTTAAAGCAGGAATGAAACAAAGCATTTCTGCTGGAAATAGGGACTGCCTGGCTCCATCCTGCCTGTAACACCCAGCAGGTGGTGAAAATAACTCCAGATATGCTCTTCCAAGTTGAAAAGAAAAGCTGAGGGAAGGGTTTGCTCCCCTGCAGCCTGTCCTGTCCTAATCATTATCTACCGTTGTGCTCAGAGGATCTGGTTACAGGTCACCTCAACAGGTGCAGGGGAGATTCACTGGCAAAAACTTCCCACCAGCACAAGTGCAGGTTGAGAAAAAGCATCACAGTTCTTTAAGAACACCAGAAAATAACCCCCAAGGAGCAGAGAGCTGCTGATGCCAGCACACAGCAGACAAACAAGGAGGAATTGCCAGGAATAGATTTACGCCAGAAGTAGGGAAGTATCCAGCCAACAGGGATCAAGGTTCAGGAGCAGCTGTCTAAGAGGGTGTTGTGATCCCTCTACTTCTAAATACAATTAAAACCCAGACAATAAGGTTATAAACAGAATTAAAAGGACGTGGGAGCTTGTGACAGGCGGCAGGAGCTGCATGGATCTCTCTAGATGCTGTGTAACGACTGGCAAGGAGCAAGTGCAGCACATTTTTTACCTCCTGTGCCATATTTGCAGTTACTCTCACACCCAAACTCCCCTACGGGCTGGGAAGTGGCACCTGGCCCCAGGCAGCTCTCAAGCACCACATGTGCTGCCCAGGTGCACCTATTCCCTGGAATAGCTGTCTCTGCGTGTCCAGGGGCCGGAGCATTGGTGGGGGCTGCTGAAGTCCTCGGGGGCCAGAGCTGCCAGTGGGCCACAGTGCCCCTGTGCTGCCTATGGAACCTGGCAAATATGGGGGACCAGGGTCTGCAGGGCCAGACAGGGAGCATTTCACTGCTGCTTTTCAGCAAAACAGCAAGAGGAGTTTAACTCGGATCTGGGTAACAGAGTGAGCACCTGCACCTCCTCCACACTGCAGAAGCACACCTGGGGTGCCACTCCACCCCAGCACGGGATGTACCTTGGACACACTCCCAGGATGGAAACAGCACAGAGGGCAACCAGCTGCTCTTCCCCATTCCCTGCCCCAGAGCCACTCTGACCTTCTTCAGATGACACATGGGGAGAACACTGATTATACTTCAGACAAGAGGGGTTGGAATAAAATGGTCCTGAAGATTAGAGCATCCCAGTTGCTGTTCCCTGAATTTCCCATCCCTGCTGCTGACCTAGATGCTCCCTGATCCGAGCCAGGCTGGGACTGCTCACAATGTGGTGTCTGTGCTGGGGACGAGCCACACTGCCAGGCACGAAGGCCAGAGAGTGGAGGTGCCCAGAGCTCCTGGAAGCTCAGGAGCTATCCCAGAACCAGACACTGCACACAGGCTGCTTACCAGTGCTGGCAACTGCACTGAAGGGCAAGAGCTACTTGGCTAAACATGGAAAACAAAGGAGACGGGAGAGATATGCCTTAGATTTAGAATTTAAGCTTGGGAGATGGAACTAAGTGTTCCTAGTTTTCTGTTATCTGGAGGAAATCTCTGAGAAAAATTACTTTGAGTCCAGTTTGGACCAAAGGTGCGTGTAGTGCTGGAGGAGGAAACAGCCTCACCAGGGAGCAAAACCAAAGAGCAGAACGCAGCAGAAGTGACCCAGAAATACAACCTTGCCCACACAGTGCCCAGAGGCAACACCCCAACAGCCCTAAACTCACACAGCTCCCACTTCCCACAGCCAGCTCACTCCCGGAGCAGGGCTGGGTGTCCTGCTGGAGTCTCCAGGCACCTGTGCAGGAGGCAGTGCTGGAGCCATTCACACAGAGCAATCATTAACCACAGCAGTGCAGCCCCCCACGCCCAGGGACAGCTGGGGACAGCTCAGGACAAGACAACCTGCTGCCCCAGCAGCACACGCCGAAGTTCACACCAGCCAGTCGTGCGTGGCACGGCTGCACCACGGCACAACCCCCAGAAACCACACCGGGGGGTGTCCCACCCTCTGCACCCACAGCCTGCTCCCGAGCACCAGCAGAGCCCCACAGAGCTGCAATAAAGCTCTGGACACACCCAGACAGAGCAAACACAAGGAACAACCCGGAGCTGGCCCAGGGAAGGACTGCAGGGAGCTCAGTCAGCCCTGCCCCTGCAGGGAGAGAGCACTAAAAGCAGAGCAGTGAACTGCCGAGCTGCCCTTCCCAAGCAGGACGTGCTTCCGGGGAAGCACAGCCCAGGCTTGACCCAAACGAGGACGGAGGGTGACGTGCTCAGGCAAAACCAGGGGACACAGAGGCAGAGCTGCCTGAAGAAACAGAGCAGCTACAGAGCAGAACTGAGCACTGTGTGGGGAACACAGGCAGCTTCAGTCCCAGGAACCATCTAAATAGGAAAATCAAGAGCCCAGCAATGGCATAGACACCAGGTTTGCACAGCCAGCAGCCCCTTGCCAGACCACTGAGGCTTTTATGGGAACACAAAAGGCAAGAGGGGACGTTTCTTTAGAAGAAAAGCATCTCCCAGCAGAGCCAAGCACGCTGGAGCCTGGCCAGAGGGCTCTGCTCAACGTGTCTCAGCACTGGTTTCCCCATTTCTGCCCCAGCAGCAGCTGCCAGTTGTGGCAAGGAAGAATTTTGCACCCTTCAGCTGTGGATGTTTGCAGGGATTTGTCACTCTTCACTCAGCTGAAGGCTTCACCCACAACTGTGTCACAAACCAACCCATATATCTATATATTAATACTCTGCCCAGCAGTCAGAGACATGCTGGGAAGAGCAAAGCAGGCTTTTCAGGGGATATTGTGCTGCTCAGCCAACAGATTCTTGTTGCCATAGCAAGAATCATTTATTTATTTGCTAGGATTTGAACAGTAATGAGTAATAAAAGAGAGGCAGGAAAAAGAAGGCAGGGTAAACATTGCCCAACGTGCGTAAATCTGAGTAGTCATACAAGGCTCATTTAGAAAAGAAAACAAAAGTCAACCTTCTTTCAGGGCAGGCTGCTTCCAGACCAACCACCAGAGAGGCCTCATGGACAGAGACTTATCAGAAATAAAAATAACCAATTTACAGAACCCAACCTATGACATAAGCAATGACAGCCAGCAGATACCTCACCCCCAAAAGGGAGGTGGGAAAGTCTGCAAGGCAGTTTTAATGACAGAACAAACACCCCATGGCTTCTCACACCAGGGATCTCTCTGGAAGTCTCCTGGGGTTAATCTGCATCCTCAGCTCTGGAAGCAATCTCTTTAGTGTGGCTTTTCTCTTCTACACCCATTATCACATTTGCTTCTTGGCTGATGAGGCAAAGCCCAAATGATTATGTAGGGTGTTTGCACCTTTTAAATAGGAACTTCTTTGCAATCCAAATCCTCACCTTGTAAGAGTCAGAAAAAAAAAATGTTCTAGGCATTAAAAGAGATCAACAAAATCACCCTGTAACTCTATTCCAGCAGGGAGAGTCAGAGTCAGCATACTGCTGACATCCCACAGCACCCAACCCACCAAGTGCTTCACCAGATCCAAACAGCTGAGCAGCACCAGGGATCAAGATTCTTCTTTTCAGGTACTAATTTTCCTCTGATCATCCTCTCTCCTCCAGCAACATAATTCCCAAGTGACAAACCCCGGGACTGCTCTGACCCCCCAGGACATGTGTGGGCTGCCAAGTGCTGCTGGGTGTGATTTAAAGCAGCTTTTCACACCTGGTCAATCCAATGCCTCCTCCTCTCTCAGCATCTGCACAGAGGGAGGGAGGACCATTCAGCATGAGTGAATCTCAGAGATCAAGCATGAACAAAGTGAGTGTTTGGGAGAATCTTGTGTTCCTGTGCAGTCTTACACTGAGCTCATTTGCTGCTGCACTGGTTGTCTAAAGATTGGGTGGACAGCATGAAAGCACAAGGACATCTCACCTGACACCTGGAACTGCAGCAGCCAGCTGGGGGAAGCCTGTACACGCAGAGCATCCCTGGGAGGTTTGCAAACAGCCCCCTGGGCTGGGCAGGAAAACTGCTCAAAGAGCAAACCCGTTGGGTTGGTTGATAGAGGCTCTGCCCCCAGGACTGCAGGGAGCTTCTAAACCCAGAACTCAGGACCCTTCTAAACACAGAACAACCTCCCAGCTGCCATGGGGTGAGAGGGAAGGTCTCTGCACAGACAAATAACTGC